GAGGCGGAAGCGGAGGCGGAGGCGGACGCGGAGGCGGAGGCGGAGGAGAGGAGGAGGAGGAAGAGGAGGAGGAGGAGGATGAGGAGGAGGAGGAGGCGGAGGGGAGGAGGAGGAGGAGGAGGAGGAGGAGGAGGAGGAGGAGGAGGAGGAGGAAGAGGAGGAGGATGAGGAGGAGGAGGATGAGGAGGAGCAGGAGAGTCGCCTGTCTCCTCGGGGGCGGGCCGGGGCTGGGGCCGAGGCTGGAGCCGGGGCTGGGGGCCAGTACGAGGTCCGGGGCCAGGACCTGGGCCGGGACCCGGGCTGGGGGCCAGGCTGGGGCCGGGACCGGGGCCGGGGCCAGGGCCAGGGCCTGGGCTGGAGCCGGGACCGAGGTGGGGGGAGGGGTCTTGAGCTCCCCTGCCGACAAGCAGACCACATCATTGTTCTCTTTCTCGACGGGGGACCGCCCAGGGTGGGGGTCACGACTCCTGGGGCCCCCCTGGGTCCCCCTTGTTTGTTCGATCTCGCTTACGACGACGACGATTCAAAGGAGGCTTGCGAGCTCCTGTTTGGGTTTGGCTGGCCTCGCGTCGAAGAGCCTCGCACACGCGCCGAATGGGTCGGCGGATTTGCTGTCATCGTCTGCGCACCTCTGGTGAGTTGGCGTTCGAAAGCGTGTTTTATTCGCTGTGTCTTCACGCCGGTCTCGCTGTGGTATGTATAGCGCAGCCCAGATGCGGCCAGCAGGCTTTGCGATGGCGTTTGTTCAGGGCTCCGTCGGTGTATGGAGGCGAAGGAAAGGCCAGTGGTTGGAGGCAGGAGGTTTGAGTTTGAATGAGTCAGGCAACTACAAGTTACTCCGCAGATCGCTGTAGCTAGATGGATAAGCACAGCGTGTCTGCCATATCTAAGGGGCCTACGGCGAACCACCGCCGCCACCCTGCCGATTGAAAACGCTTATGTGGCCAACCGTTGTTCCAAAGCTTGGCCGTGCTACTGGACTATGTATTTCTGCAGCTGTTGTGGAACCCTTGGGAGATCACTTGGGGAAGCAAGAGGGAGAGGACTTTTGTGTCGACTGAAGTGGGCTTGTGTCTATGGCGTGCCTTGGTTCGAGCAGCAAGTGGAGCGCAGGCGCCTAGGCCCTACACACAGTGCCGGTACAGGGGTTCGAACCTTGCCCGCGGGTCCCTGGGGAGACTTCCGACAGAAGGTGTTGGACGAAAAATAGGATTTTTGGATTGCGACGCTGTTGAAGCATATACGTAGCCTGTCAGCAACGATGGCACGCAGCTTGCAGAGACAATTCAGCACAGTCAGCAGCTGTACTAAACGTCGAGCTTCGAAAACTCTGCACGGGCACCTAAGGTTAAAGAACAGTTCGCAGTAACACTCTCAACCCTTGTCATGCCAGCGGTAGCGGCACAGAAACGCGGGGCGGTCCTGGACCGACACGGGAGACGCGGCCCTGATCGCCAAGCCGGCACAACAAGGGTCAGAGGAGCACGGCTGACATGCGTGCGCGGAGAGCCTGAGAGCATGTCCATGCTAAACTGGTGGCTCTGCTCTCCTCGGCCTCTGCGCTTCTGCCCCTCATCCCAACGGGCGGAGGCACGAACACCCGCCGCGCTCGGCGCGGGTGGGCGGCGGCCGCACGCGGGGGCGCTCGCTGCCGCTCCGCCGCGCCGCTCGTCGCTCCCAGCTCCGAGCCCATCCCGCTCCGACGTGCCTCCCTGGCAGTAGCTCACACGTCTGGTGAGCTGGCGGTCTCCACCGTCAGGAATTCGAGGTAGGTCACACATGGTGTCTGCATCCGTCTCAGGCCGAGGGGGAAGCAGGGCATGGGGAGCGTAAAAGGGCTGGGGAAGGCCTCGCACAATGGCCCAACGGCCATGGAGAGCGGGAAGGGGAAGTGGCCGGACTGGATTGCGTACTTAAAACCGCTTGTGCCGCTTGTGGCCGATCTGGTGCTGCTCTAAACCACAGACCCGCACCTACTATACTCCATCACCCTTGTCATGAGTTCGTCCGTCTCGCGAGCATGTGGCCTTGGCCACCGTCAAAAATCAGAGGAAAGTCCCACGCGATCTCTGCCTCTATCCATGGCAGAGGAAGGACTGACATGTGGGAAGCGAAAAAGAAGGGGAGGCAAGGAACGGTCTCGCACAATGGCCCAACGGCCATGGAGACTCGGAGAGGGTAAGTGGTCGGTTTGGCTCATGTGTATGGGCGAGGCTGGCAAACTGCGCACACGTGCTTCTGCTCCAATCGTCCACCCCGCTCCGATCCTGAACAAGCGTCCCTCCCGCGAACTGATTAGTCACGCGCTTGGTCAAACAGCCCAATGCCGAAGTCGGGCTGCAACGTCCAAGGGGCTATTCTCTTGGCGAGACGCAGCCTGCGACGCTCCCTGGCCTGCGCTCGGTCGGCTGCGATACGTTGGCGCATAGCTTCTGTGAGCTCGGCTGGCTGTGAGGGAGGAGGTGGCACTAGAGAGGAGGGAGGGCAGGGACAAGGGGGCTCTGTGTCTTCTGGCAGCGGTATGCTGGTGCCTTCGATGAAGGCCAAAACTTCTGCATACTCTTGCTCATCTGCAGCCTCCACTGGGCCTGGGTCCGGAGGTGACGCCTCAGGGTCGAACATGATCCCTGGCTCTGGCGGAACTCCTGCCTCCGTCGGCTCAGGCGGTAACAACTTTTGCCGTACGGGGTCCGCTCGGAGCCTTCCTGCTCGAGGGGAGGCAACGTCTGGGGCCCAGGTCTCGTCTGTCCCGGGGTATCTGTCCCGTTCGAAGTTGAAAAACAAAACCCTAAGCGACCCACGGAGCTTCTCCTCCTCCTCCTCCTCTTCCTCCCTCATGCCCTCTGGCCGCATCCCGTCTTCACACCACCCATGCAGGTGGTTGGCTGCGCGCATGATACCGTCCGCTAACACCTGGCACAGCGCTGGTGGGTAGGTCTCCTTCTCGGCCGTGCGTCACTCCGTTCGAGCCCTGCCGAACCCCAGTAGCACCTCACGAGCCCCACGGCCGTGTGAGCAGCGTCCTCTTCCTGGTGTTTCGCAGGGCCTGTCATGTAGCGTGCCCATGCGTAGTGCCAGGACCTTGGCATCGCTCGGACGTGTGCATTTTTCCTTGGGCGAGGGCCATCGAGGAGCATCCTTGATCATTTGGCGAAAAAAGCACGCACGAAACCGAAAAAAGCACAGGGAATGGACGTCCGAGCGACTGCAAGGGACGCGTGTAGGTGCTCGTGCTACCTGACCGTGCTCGAACTGATCAAAGGCGGTTGTTGTTGCGGCAGGGGAGGCCATGGCTGCTTTCAGCGAGCGGCAGAGGAAAGCGCTGACTGCCTCTGCGCGCCAACTCGCCGGCATGGGATGCTCCACCCAACAACTGGTCCCGACAGTCAGGCGTACTGCGAAAATCACCACCCACCAAACCACCCCAACCCAACCCGAATGCCCCAGTTTGCCCTCCATTTCCACTGGGGGCGGGGTCGGGGAACATCGAAGAAGCACACATGTGAAGCCCGTGCCCCCCCCAACCCGACATTCGGGCGAAGTTCGGGTCGTCGGGTTGGGTTGGAGTGGCTTGGTGGGTAGTCAGAAAAGTTCGATCATGGCTCCCAGAAGCTCATTCCCTGCCCCGAGCTGTGTCATCTTTCGAGGAGCCACGGCGAGGGGGGCCCGCGGAGCGGTGGGGGCCCCGTGTCGGGGGCCCTATCGGATTGCCGTCCACGTCTCGCACGGCCCCCCCCCCCCCGCTTGACAGTACCGCCCGTCGGGCACGGCTGTGTTCTTTCCACACCCCCAGCGACTCACGACGCATCGTGCTACCGAGTGCAGGGTCGATCGCGATGTCGATCGACGAGACACTGACCGAGAAGTCTGTGTTCTATTCAGTCCACTCGAGTGACGCCTGGGTGTCCCCTGGTCGTCGTCGTTCACAGGATGGGTTGAGAATGAACTATCCTGACCGACGTGTGGCCGATGGCAGCGTCTGCGCAGCCCTGCCTGTGTACTGCTCGGTAAGGGTGGATCTGGGGCGGGTAGGCAGGCGTCGTCCTGATCGGTGGGTGGCGGCAGAGGTAGGAGTGCTGCGCACGCCTCTGGCGTAAGATACGGGTCGCTTTCCAGTGGTACCTGTCGTACGCATGCCTGTCGTACGTAGAGGGCTACTCCATCTTTGCCTCTCCATTTTGCGGCTGCGGTGAGAACAATCAAATCGCCTGCTGGTGTCCACCCATTCCGACACAGCCGAGTCCTCCAGAGTGACATTTGGATGGACGTGGCGAGCACAAAACTGATGAGCAAGCGCAAGCATGCGGCCTGGCAAGTTGAGGCTGGCCGCGTCCTGACATCGGCATCGAATCCTGGTGCCATGCGCTCTCGCAGCCTTCCTGCGGGGCCGCAGTCTGAGCACAGGCACTGGCAACCACTCCACTGGCAACCACTCCACTGGCACGTGGCGCGCACTCCACTGGCAATCAGGAGAGAACCCACGCCAACGCGGACAATGACAGCAATGCGGCCAGCGAAAACGCTGGGAAGACGACTTCGTCAAGTTCCTCCAACAAAACAACCCCGACCAGCATCCAACGCCCACACCGACAACAAAAGGCCAACCCAACGACTTCACCTGGATTCGCGCGGCCCAAGACACCACCACCTGGTCGACACTCGAACGGCAATACGCACACCCCACGTAACGACACTACGCCGACATCCACATCCAGGACTTCCCTCCTCCCCTCCTCCGTCGCAGATTTGTTTTTATTGTCTCGCTGTCCATATGCATGATCGCGTGCAGTCCATATGTACAGGTTGGTTTGAAGAGGTTACGGCCTCCTCCACCAGGTCTCGAGCAGGCCCGGACAGCTGTCCGCAGTGGTGGTTCGTTCGTTCGTTCGTTCGCAGTGTGAGCACACTCGCCGCTGCAGCGCTGACCTGAGGCGGCATACCTGACGTTGGAAATTCTCGTTGCACACGCGAGTTTTCCGAGCCGCGGCCAGCTGGCGGCGAGAAAGCCTTGCGTAGGTCCAGGGATGGCGGGTAGATGTCGGGCATTTCGTTCGCACCCACTTTCGGATACACCCTGAGACCGTCGTAGGGCTGCGCAGACATCCATAACCGCGGCACATCAGCAGCGGCGTCAAGCAATCTTGACCACGGTTGAAAGTCAGCATCTGCGGTTGGGGCGATGGCCATAGATGCGAGGCGCGCTATGGTACCTGCAAGCTCGTTACGAGGATGAGCATGTTGTCCCAACACGTGTTTCCAGGTAAGCCGTGTAAACCGTCGTAGTAACTTCAGGACACCGTCAAACGTCCAAGGTAGGTCCCCACATGATGTGCACCGTGTACTCCCGTCGGCCGATGAGACCATGAGCTGGTTATCCGTACACACTTCGACTAGGATATCACGAAACCTTTCATCGGCTTGCAGCAACCGTAGGACCAGCCGCAGTGCGGCTTGAAATTCAGCTGCGCCCCACGGGCTGGCAACTGAGTCGGATAGCGATGGGTTGACACCGCACAGGTACCCCTCACATATGTACCTGCCCGTCAGCGTAACTGAGAAGATACACCATGCCCACGATGGGGGCCCACCCAACTGCTGATGTTTGGACCCTCCAGACCCGTCTGTGTACACTTCCAGTCTTACAACTTTGTCGTCCGCAGGGGGGAGGGCTCCGTGGGTCTCAACAAAACTGCGGGTGCTGCTGTGCAGATACGGATGACATGTGCACTGCTTGGTCTCTCTCTGTGGCCCAAGGGGCCGAGGGGCGAGCTGACGGGCTGACGGGCCGAGGTGCACTAGACTGGGGTGAGGGGCGAGCTGACGGGCCAGGGCTGACGGAGGTGCAATCGGGAATGGTGCAACGTGGGCGAGCCGGCTCAGTCTCCGTCTGAGGCTGAGACTGTGGCGGCCTGGCTGGGAAAAAACCAGCAGCGGGCAGGCTGTGAGATGGTAACTCAGGCGCCTCAATCGACAATGCCTGCCCGCCAGGCCGCATCACCCCAGCGTCGACGCACCCGATGCGCTGCTCCCGCCGTCCACGACCAGGAAGCTGTCCTCCGTCTCCTCGGGCTGTGGCTGCGACTGTGCCCCTGACGACGGCTGGCTCTCCAGCCGCGCGATCCTCTCCTGGCTCTGCAGCGACCTCAGCACGTCCGACCGGCGTGGGAGGAACTGCACCTCGTCCGCGATGGCTGGACGCCGCCTCCTGTCGAGCGATGGCATCGCGTAGCCCTTGCTGTCCATCGGGTTTGCGAGCTCGCTCCGCCTCGCGCTTGTGGCCTTCTTCGCCGCTGCCGCACGGGCCCTCGGCTCCTCGGGCGGGGCCTGCGCGTCCGCGGGCGGCCGCGCTCCGCCGTCGACTGGAGCATCGACGGCTGCAGCGGCGGCGTGGGCTGCTCGGGTCGCAGGGTCGGGCAGCACGGCCGCGGCCGCCGCGGGTCCAGGCGACGCGTCGGCGCGCGGCGCCGCCGCGTCGGGGGCGGCGGCCGGGGCCGCGGCGGGCCCAGGCGGGTCTGCGTGCGGCGCCGCCACGGGCGCGGCTGCAGGGGCCGCTGCGGGCGCCGGCCGCTGCGCCCGGGGCAGCCTCCATCCCCGCGCCGGGGCCAGCAGCGGCACGGACGGTGGTCATGTGCACCTGCAGCGTCGTCGGCAACTGCGTGAGCGGCGTGAGCTGTCTGGTCAGCTGCGCCTGCCCTTTCCGCAACTCTGCGATGGCTGCGACGGGCGGTGCCTGGTCTGGTGGTGTGCCTGGGATCACGCCCTGCGCCCGGCGGCGTGGGCGCAGCCGCTGCAGACTCCATGTTCACGTCGGCGTCCGTCGCGGGTCTCATGGCCTCGAGCTGGTCCAGCAACGGCTTGGCCCGACTGAGGGCATGCTCCCGCTGCAGCACCTTGGCTTCCTTCTCCTCTAGACTGGCTCGGGCTTGGTCAGCAGCGGCATGCGCTTTGTCGAGCTTCACCCGAGCCCGCTGCACAAATGCCCGCTGTCTGTCACACCTCACGCCTGGGGCCCGAGCTGATATGATCATGCACAGCTGGACCGCGTACTGCTCTTCTTGTGGGCGCACCTGCTCAGCTGTCATGCCAAGCTCCTTGACCGCCTGCAGGCGCTTGCCCGTGGCGGCGGCCATGTGTCTCAACGATCTTCTATGGGCCGCCAGCTCCCGTTCATCTATGGGAGGCTCTACCCACGCAGGATGAGACTGTGCGTCCAGCGGGAGAGCGGGCACAATGCCCAAGGCTGGACTGCGCCACTCGTCCCCCTTCTCCGATACGTGGCCTCCGTCGGCCTCCTCCTCGTCGGCGAACCTCACGCGGGAGCTGGATCGCGGCCTTGACACACTCGGCTGGCGGCTTCGTCGGCGGCGGGACCCAGATCTTGGGCGGTCCTTCCTCTGCCGGGTCTCCTGTCGCTGCTGGCTCGGCGCGCTGCCTCCGTCTCAGTGTGCTGGGAGCCTGTTGAGGAGCGGCATGCACGTCTGGCACAGCAGATCGGCGGGTCCGTTCAACGTGCCACACGTCCGACACCACCATCCTGGCGGAGGGGGAATGTGCCAAGGGGCTCGCCCTCCAGCAGCTCCTGTGGCGCGCCCTTTGCCTCTGTGTCCTCCAGCCGGCCCAGCTCCGCCCTTGCCGCCGCCAGCGCTCTCTTCCCACTCCTGGGGCCTGCGCTGTGGTGGGCGCGCGCCCGTAGCCGCGGCGGCAGCCACCCGCAGCAAGGTGCGCGACTGCGTGCGCCGCTCGCGAGCTCGCCTGTGCCAGGCTGGCTCGCGCACGCGCGACTCGCGCGCCCGCCTGCCCGTGGCAGGCCCGCTCGCCGTCGCGCGCCCGTCGCGGGGCGGCGCACGCCGCAGCAGCAGCACGGCGGGCCCGCTCGCCGATGGCGCGGCCTCGGCGCGGGCTGGCACGTCTGGACTGCCGAGTCCCGAGGAGGCTCGCAGCGCGCGGAGCTGGGTACCAGGGCGCTGCACCCAGAGCCTCGAAACGGGACGGCGGCTGACGAACAAGAGGAGGAAGGGAGGAGAAGAGCAGAACCAGGAAAAGGTGGAGGAGGAGGAGGTGGAGGAGGAGGAGGAGGAGGAAAACGACCAGCGATGAGAAGGGTACAACGCGGGTCGACGACACGGGTGTTGTCAAGTAACCCGTGCCTTCAAACCAGCAATGAGGGTGGACTGACGGGCATCGTGCCTCCGTCGTAGGGGAAGGCGGGACGCGCCACATGCGAAACAGCAGCCTCTTGCGCCGCAGTGGTGGCAGAGGCATGCCCCCGAACTAGGAGGCTGAGGGAGCAGAGACATGATGCAGAGGGAGGGGGAGCCAAAATGGCAGGGCATCCCCTGAAAAGGGGCACCAAGGTCGCAGCCACCACTATGGGTTCCGCCTGGGGGCGAGCGTGTTTCTGGGGAGCAAAATATTTGTCGCATGCGGAGAACCCCTCGCTGGCAAACCGCGGCGTTGCTTTGCAATACGGAGGCGTGTGAAGATGGGGTACATAGACGGACCTGGTGGCAATTGAAACAATGGGTATGTAGAGCCTCTGACGGTGACCGTGCAGAGGGGGAGAGGAAGCGTTGGAGGACATGTATGAGGAACTGGGTTGTCGAGACTGGTCACATCGCCGACGCTCGAGCACACATCCAAGAACATAACACCACTATTGAATTCGGATCGCAGTTCGCCTAGCATATGCAGCCCTTGCCTGGGAACGCATGGGCACAGCATGGAAGAAGAGGAAGGCCTCGGAAGTGAGGCAAGGAGGAGAGGCACGGTACCTTACAGCCCGCTTCGGACCCACCTGAGTATGCCACCTCTGTTGGAGGCGGGTGCTGGTCTGGTACATGGGCACCTAGCAGCCCTCCCCGAAGAATGAGAACGCGATTGAGAGGCATGGCAGGTACACAATGACCGCAAGGCTCTGGCTCAGACGTAGCGTACAGGGAGAGCGCACTGGATGTGAATAGACAGAGAGAGAGAGAGAGTGATGAAGAGCAACCCGGCGCAGTCTCGAAGTACCATGGTCGGGGCCTCAGAGACGGGGGTCAGTGCAAACGGGGGTCAGCCGGGGCACCGGATCCTGCAGGATCCTGCGAAGACCTCCTCTGGCTGACCCTGGTTAGCGAGCCGCTCGGGGCCGCGAGGCGGCCGCGCCTATTGGTTGACCCGGATTTGCGAAGACCTGCGTTGCAGTTTTTTTCCTGCATAGCAGGTCTTTGGTTTCCTGCTGACCCGGGTCTGGAGTGACCCGGGTCAGAGGATCCCCGACATGGACTGAGGAAGCTCCCACGGGCAGGCGTTGAAGCTTCGATGACCTTCACCTCCCGAGGGACAAGGAGGAATACCGCAAGCGGGCGTAGGAGGCTTCGTGAGCTTCGCCACCCGAGGATGGGAGGCGAGTTCACCAAGTAAAGTATCGCCAACCCCTGAAATAAAAACCTCGAAGAGAAACGAACGCCATAGGCATAGACTTTTGGCGCTCCGCGCGGATTTCTTGGACCTGCGCTGGGCATATCATTAAAATAACAGGTCCATCGTAAAGAAAAGAACCCGGCGCGCCAACAACCCATGTGGATGGACATCTGGGGGCGGCGGACCTCATTGCCTTCGGTGAATCTCGCCACTGTGCCTGGGTTGCAGGCCCGAGGCCCCTTGGTCGCCCGTGGGGTTCTCTCGGGAAGGCCTTTCGGAGGCCTCTTGGAGGCGGTTTTTGGGGTCCCTTCAGGCCTCTCTGAGGCCTCTCGGGGTCTGATTTGGACCTTTCGGGGCCTCCTGGGGCTTCTGGGAGGGCCTTTTGTGTGCGTGCGTGCTGGCGGTCTTCGGAATCATCTTGGGGCGGAGGGCGCGAAATGTCAGTTCGAGTCCCCCCCCCCCCGGGGCCATCTTTTGGTCGGCTTGGGCCATCTTGGGGGCCTCTTGGGCCGTCTTGCAGCGCTCTTGGGCCGTCTGGGGGCCCTCTTGGGGGCCTCTTGGGCCGCCTTGGGGCGATTTTGAGGGCCCTCTTCTGCCGTCTTGCAGCCTCGGGAGTCAGAAAAGGTGAAATGCTAAGCTTTTCCAGCCAATCCTAGCACAATAAATGCTTTGGGCATCTCGAGGCCCTCTTGGAGATTCTCTTGAAGCCCGTCTGGAGGCCACCCTGGGCGTCCTGGAGCGATCTTTGGGCGACTCGGGCCCTCTTGGGCCGTCTTGGCAGCCTCGTCGGACCTTCCTAGCACGTTTTGGGGCCCCATTGCGTCCGGAAAAGTCGAGCGAAAACGCAAGTCAAGCCCCAGGAGCGCCCAAGAGCGCCCAGAACTCATTGTTGGGGGCCCCTTTCAAGAGTGTTGCGGTGCTTAATGCAGTAGAGAACTCAGGAACCCGAGGACATTTCGTTTCGCACCTCGGAGGCCAGCTGGCCATCTCGGCCTGCAGCTCGGAGGAATGAAGCGGTGCCTGCCTGGCAGGAGTCTCGCACGACAGCGCTTGACGGACAGGAGGCGCGTGGGAGGGGTGGGAGGCATGTGGACATCAGGAAACCCAGGTGGCCTTAAAGCCTGTGCGTGATGTTCCCAAAGGCGCTCTATTTGCGATGTGAGCAGCGTGGCGTTCACCGCATTCCTGAACAGAGCCTTCCTGACCAGCAGCGCGACGCTGAAAAGCAAGTAGCACTGCAGGTCCGCCTTGCCGCTCAAACTCCGCGCCCCCGCATGGGCTCTTATATTTTGACTACCTGGCAGCAGCATCCGTAGCACTCTAAGGTTCCCCGCGCACATCAGGCTGCCTTTTGCTCTTTTCGCTCCCCCGGTGCCTCGTCCTTGTCTTCGTCCACCCCGCAGAACCTCCCTGACCAGCAGCGCGACGCTGAAAAGCAAGTAGCACTGCAAGGGCGCTCAAGCGCCACGCCCCCGTAGTGGCTCCGGTATTTTGAGCACATGGCAACAGTACCCGTAGAGATGCAGGGGTGCCGCGCACAACAAGCTGCCTTTTGCTCTTTTCGCTTCCCCCGGTGCCTCGTCCTTGTCTTCGTCCCTCTGCAGCCAATGCACGGGCGCGCGGTGCAAAGTTTCTGCGCGCCCAGAGACGAGTCGGCGCTCAAAGGGCACACGCGTTGCGTCTCGAGGAATACTGTCCTCACTTATGCTGCAAGGCACCCTGACAGGATTACCCCCTTGCTGTCATTGCCTGCATGCCTGCATACATACCTCTCGATAATTTGCGCGGGAATGCGTGTTTTCTTCGCTGCGTGTTCACGGCTGCATTCGTTGTGTAGGGCAGCTCGTCTGTGGCTCGTAGGTTTGTTGGTTTATGGAGGGCGAGTGAAAGGCTGGTGGTTTGGTGGGGGGAGGGTCGAGTTTGATTGAGTCTGCTTTCTAGCTTTCAGATCGCTGTAGTTGCACGAGCGAGTGCAACGTGTATGCCATATTTTAAGGTCGCCTGTCAATATGAACTGTAGCTCGGAGAAGATTATCGGTGTTGGCTTGGCAGGAGTCGCACGCCAGCGCTTGACGGAAAGGAGGCGCGTGGGAGGGGTGGGAGGCATGTGGACATCAGGAAACCCAGGTTGCCTTGAAGCCTTTCTGTGATGCTCCCACTGGAGTTCTATTTGCGATGTGAGCAGCGTGACGTTCACCGCATTCCTGAACAGAACCTGCGAGACCAGCAGCGCGATGCTGTCAAGCATGCAGCACTGCAGGTCCGCCTTGCTGGCGCTCAAACTCCGCGCCCCCGCATTGCCTTCGGTATTTTGACTAACTGGCAGCAGTACCCGTAGTAATGCAGGGGTGCCGCGCACAACAAGTTGCCTTCGGCTCTTTTCTCACCCCCAGTTCCTCGTCCTTGTCTTTGTCCTTCCCTCTGCAGCCAACGCACGGGCGCGCGGTGCAAAGTTTCTGCGCGCCCAGAGACGAGTCGGAGAGCACACGCGGCGCGTCTCGAGGGACACGTAAAACAAGCACACACACAAGCACACAAGCACACAAGCATACACGCTCAAGCACACGCACACATCCGCCCACATCAGCACACAAACACACAACCACACCCATAACCACACCCACACGCATAAGGTAAGTCAGCGCCACAACATAGGATAGCACAACACAATCACACATACACGCGCACATGTACCACACCTCAAGACAAGTCACCACACTATCACATAACGCAACCGTGTCACAACACCACACCGTAACCGCACAAAATCACACACACACGCCTACCCACCCACCCAATCACCCACCCAATCACCCACCCATTCACCCACCCCGCCCGCCCGCCCGCTTGCCCGCGCGCGCACGCACGCACGCACGCACGCACGCACGCCGCACGCACGCACACACGCACGCGCACTCGGACGCACTCGCACGTACGCACGCACGCACGCACGCACGCACGCCCACGCGTGCACGCATGCAAGCACGCATGTACGCACGCGCTCACGGACACGCACACACGCACACACACACACACTCGGGCACACGTGCACGCGCACACGCGTACACGCGCACACGCGCACGCGCGCATACACGCACGCACGCACACACACACACTCACACACACACACGCACACATGCCGCTACGCAAAACTGCACACCCGCACACGCACGCACAACACACACACACACACGCACACTCACAAACACGCACACACACACACACGCACGCACACACAGACATACACGCGCACGCACACTCACACACACACTCCCCCCCCGCACACATACACATTCACACATACAGTCACACAAATGCACACAAACTCACAGACACATTCACACAGAAACGCGCACACTCACACACACACACGCACGCAAGCAAATACACACACGCACGCACTGGGTGTGTGCGTGTGAATGTGTGACACATTCAGGCACACGCGCATACGCACACGCACACGCGCACACGCATTCACACACATTCACACATCCACCTACAGACACACACAAACACAGACACTCACACAACCACACCCATACACACACGCACACACACATCCACACATCTCCGTACCAATTCTGGCTCAAGGCATTGCGTCACTCGACGACTGCGAGCCCGAGAGGGCGGCCTGAGCGCGATGGGGTCGAGCTTGGGCCGAAATCTCACGACCAAGCTCTGGGCAGCCCAGTCCATTGCTGTTGCTTCCTGGGGAACTGTACGGAGTGCCCCTCCCCACACCCACCATCGTGCATTTGAGCAGCAGACATGGCGCCAATCGGCCCAGGCGGACGGAGAGACGAGTAGCGCATCAAGTGGTGCTGCAAGTGGTGCACAGGGCTTGATGGTAAGCCATGCGTCAATTATCCTGACCAGCTGGCCTGTCACTCGTGCGCGACGTCAAAGGCGGTGGCTTTCGATTGCAGGCCAAATATTATTAAGAGCAAAGATCCTCCTACTCGTGGCCCCAGGTCTGACAGCCCAGTCAAAACGCCTCTCGAGCAGCAGCTGCTGGCCGTGCATAAGCAAGCCGCCCAATTCAGAAGGAGCTCAAGCAGAAGCGACTTCAGCCGCTGGCAGACGACAGCGACCAGGAAACGGCGTTAGTCACGGCCACAACTGCTCGCCGTGAAGGCCGACCGGGCCCAGCTATGCGCTGCTCTTCCTGCACCGCCTGCTGCGCTCCCTGACGAAGGTGGCAAAGCTGGTGGCCGCTGGGCTATTTCCAAGATGTGTGAGCTCATGCACTGTATGGGGCTGCCGACAGGCTTGCAGTCCAACGGCGAAGGTCTGTCCAAGGATGCAAGATGCACAGCGTCGAGAAGCATAGTCGGGTGGCGAAGCTGCTGACGAAGGGAGTGTCCCAGGTGCAGGTGGTGCCGTGGACGAGCCCATGGGGGATGCAGAGCTCGATGGGGCCATCAAGGAGGAGCTCAAGGCGTACCTGGTGGCCTGCGGGATGGAAGCGCCCGTTTGCGGTACTGGTGATGACGATGATGCTGCTGCTGATGATGATGATGATGATGATGATGATGATGATTACGATGATGATGATGATGATGATGATGATGATTGCGATGATGATGATGATGATGATGATGATGATGATGATGATGATGATGATGATGATGATGATGATGATGATGATGATGATGATGATGATGATGATGATGATGATGATGATGATGATGATGATGATGATGAGCTGCGTGACGCCGTCAAGCGCTGCCTCAAGCTCCCGCCTTGACAGGAAGTGAAGCGCCGTCGAACGGCAGCATTGGGCGCTGGAGTCGCTCACTTCCCTTGAAGTGATGATAGGTTTTCGCTCAGGGCCAGGACAGGGCCTCGCGAGTCACCCGGCACAGATGGAGCTTGTTAGCTAGGGCGCGGAGACGCCAACCCCGAACGCCCAGGAGAAAGGGCCTGCTGGCGAGGCCCACGGCGGTGGGGGGAGGTGCTGCGCCGCTCGCCCCGTCGCCTTCCCTGTAACTCCGAGCCGACAGCGGTGGGGTGGCCGATGCTCTCACGCATGCAGCCCGCCCTGGCGGCTTGGTGAAGAGCTGCGACGTTCTCGCCGTCGCCACCCCTAGAAGTCCGCGCGGTGCCCACGGCGGTGGGGTGGTCGATACCCTCGCGCATGCAGCCCGCCCTGGCGGCTTGGTGAAGAGCTGCGACGTTCGCGCCGCCGCCGTCCCTGTAAGACCGAGCGTGGCCCAAGGCGGCGGGGTGGCCGAAGGCCTCGCGCAAGCTGCTCGACCTGGCGGGATGAGGAAGGCTGTGCCGCTCGCCACGTCGCCCTCCCTGTAACACTGAACGAGGCCCACGGCGGCGGGGTGGCCGTTGCCCTCGCGCATGGAACTGCTTTCGGCGGCATGGAACGGTGCTGCGTCGCTTGTCCCGTCAAGCCCCCTTATAAGCCCGAGTGAGGCCCACGGCGGTGGGGTGGCCGATGCCCTCGTGCATTGTGTCTCCCCTGGCGGCGTGACGAGGAGCTGCGGCTCTCGCCTTGTCGCCTTCCCTGCGAGCCCGAGTGCGGCCCGTGGCAGCAGGGGGGACGTCGCCCCTGCACAGGAGATGGTGTGGGTTACTTCGGCTCCGGGGATGGCGACGACAACGGGCGACCTGATCCGGAGATGTTCGTGCGACCAGCTTAAACCCCTGCTCCGGAGATGTTCGTGCGACCAGCTTAAATGGCGAGATAGATCCGTCCGTTGATCTTAACGAAATGCTGAAGCACCGGGGGGGCGACGACAACGGGCGCGGCTCACCTGCGGAGATGTCAGAGCATGCCGAGAGCGAGGTGCTTGCAGATGCTCAAGCCAGTGATGGGAAGCCTGACCCCAGGAAGCCCCAGGATGGGGAATACCTGGTTGCATCGGCGGCGGGGCCGCCGCTGTCGTTGTGCCTGGCCGCGTCGGCCCAGGCAGATCTGACCTGCCCCAGTCGGACTTGAGGCGAGGCTCGGACAGCGTTCCCAGCAGCCGCTGGCCCAGGCAACCCCAGGAGGGGGCCAAGTGCGCGGGGGCTCGGGTGCACTCGTGCTAGTAGTGGGAAGACGAATGCCCAGAGACAACTACCACCTGAGGACGTGCCAGTGCAGGAAGTTGATGTCTCAGCCAGGCCAGGCCCACAGACTGCCTCTGGTCCACGCCGATTCGCATAGCACATTGCTGAGGTTCCTCAACGCATCCCAGGCGGACGCTATCATGGCGCAGGAGGTGCGTACATTGAAGGGGGAGCTCCCTGAGCTTCAGGCTGATGCCCGGGATGCGAGATGGCGAGGGCAATTGTCAGAGGCCTTGCCCACGGGTGGAGGAGGCACAGAGGGTGGCGTTGCAGTGTTGGCGTGCACGAGCTTCCAGATCACGCGATTGCCCTTCCTCAAAGCTGGCGAGATGGTGTCAGGTGGAACAGCGGCCTGCCTGGTGCACGCAGACAGGCCTGGTGGCTTGATCTGCATATCACTGTATATTTTCACGGGTAAAGGCCGTGCTGCTCGGAGCTTGGCGATATCGTGGGAAGTGTGAAATTGCGTCAAGGGTGCTGCTGATGCGGGTTATCCGTGGGTGATCGCAAGAGATTCCGACGTGTCTCCAGAAGAGTTGCTCGAGCACAGCTGGCTTCATTTGGTTTGACGGGGTTTACAGTGCCCCTGCTTGTCCTGCCCGTGTGCAGTCCCAGCCAACTCGGGCGTTGGATTATTTTGTCGCGCGTCGGTTGCTGGCAGGAGATGCGCCGTCTACGATTGGAGTTCTTGTGGGCTCGTGCTTGTGGCCCCGCCGGCCCCCCACTTGTGCGCGCCGAAATGTAAGACTACCCTGCAAAAGCGAGCCCTCATGCAGCCGCGCGCGTTTCCGAAGACTGCTCGGCCAGGCTGCTCCAG